TAAAACTAAGACAGTCCTGGGTAAACTGGGATGGTTGGTTACCCTGAGTTGGTCACCCAACCCACTGGCCTACAGCTGATAGTTTGGAAGTAAGCCCAGAGGGTTCTGAGTAGTCAGATGGTTCATATATGGAGACTTGCTGATTTGCCTCACAGAGACTTTCAGAATATTCCTTGACACCCCCTTTCCTCCATTTTATATGCAGTTCTTTTTTTTTTTTTTTTTAAGATTTTTATTTATTTATTTGACAGAGAGAGATCACAAGTAGGCAGAGCAGCAGGCAGAGAGAGAGGAGGAAGCAGGCTCCCTGCTGGGCTCCATCACAGGATTCTGAGATCATGACCTGAGCCAAAGGCAGAGGCCCAACCCACTGAGCCACCCAGGCACCCCTTACAAGCAGTTCTAAAAAGCTTGGTTATTTGGTTTCCAGGTGCCTTGTCGATTAGAAACTGAACATTGGAAGGGGAAGTGGTTATTGTAGAAAGGCACACTGATTACGATGGTCAGGGACGTCCGGCTGAAGGTGGGAGCAAGGAGAATGAAGTCTAAACTAGTAAAAGATGAAGTCACTGCAGTGGTCAGGAGACGTTTATCACAGTGGCAAACATACCTTAATAAAAATAGCTGTTACTGAACACTATGTGTTGGACACTATTTTAAGCACTTATAGGAATCACATAATTCAATTCTTCTAAAATAACTCTATTATCCCTGTTCCTCAGATGAGGAAACTGGGGCACAGAGAAGTTAACTAACTTGCTGAAGATCACACAGCCAGGAAGTAGGAAAGCCAAGATTCAAAGTTTCCAGAGCCCAAATCCTCAACATCCTGATTCACTGTAGATCCTGGATGCTGAGGAGGTAGCACAACAACTTAGTGATGTTTATTTTAATGTCCTGAATCATCTAAGAAAAAATTAAAGCATGGACATTACATTTTACAGTAGTCCCTCCTTATCCATGGGAATATGTTCCAAAGTCCCCAGTGGATACATGAAACCGTGGTTAGTACTAAATCCTATATCTACTATGTTTTTTCCTATACATACGTACCTATGATAAAGTTTAAGTTATAAATTAGATACAGAAAGAGATTAATAATAACTAATAATAGAACAAATATAACAATATACTAAATGAAGTTGTGTGAATGTGGTGTCTCTCTCTCTCACTCAAAACATCTTACTGTGTTGTCCTCATCCTTCTTCTTGTGATGATGTGAGATGATAAAATAACTATGTGATGTGTTGAAGTGACATGATGACCTAGGCTTTGTGATTGTTATGCCCAAGTTTTCGCATCGGAGAGACCACCAAGGAGCCAACACCGATGCAATCACACGAGGGTTTATTTAACAAGCTTAAGCTTGGGCCCAAGTATACCCAACACAGCGGAGCAGGGACTTGGACCCCAAGCTTAGTTAAGGCAGGGGTATTTATGGGTTCCTGTTCCTAAAGCAGGGTGGGGATTCCTGTTACTAAAGTAGGGTGGGGGTCTCTGGAACTAGCAGGGTGGGGCTTCTTAGAACTAAGGTGAAGTAGGGGAAAGTTCAGCCCTTGGGCACAGGGATCTGAGATGGCTGCCGGAGCTAAGATGGCTGTACTTATGCTAAGGCTAAACCTGAGGTGGGATGGCCTTAATTTTTCTCGGCCTCCACAGTGTTGTAGCCTTAGGCAACTATTGGCCATCTGATGAATCGTCAGGGATCCTACGCTTCTGGACAGCTACTGACCCCAGGTCTCTGAAGCCCCAGAAACCAAAACCGTGGATGGGGTGGAGGGTGTACTACCGTATTTTGTAGGAACTAATTTTTTTTAAAAATTTTATCAAGTTATTCATGGACATAGTGTGACAAAAAGCCATTACTCCCCTCCCCCAGCTCATTTCCTGCTCTGCAGAGACTGCTTTCAAGTCTTGTAATTAGGTGATTCTTGCTGGTAGTTACATCTCTTGTCTCTAAACAACATACTGGATATTTCTACGGTCAGTTTTCAGTTTTAAGCATTATTTAAATGCCTATGCCTAGACACTTTACCACGGCAGAAGAGAATTTTCACTCATTTCCTCCACATCTGCCTCTACCACACGTGTGTGCCACTTCTGGCCCCTACTCTCAAGTTCTGTCATAGTTTTAGTTAGATCAGTACGTACGTCCTGGGCTTGTTTTTTCTTTACATCTTCCCTCTGGGGCTGGGCGGATTCTCCAGAGAGCATTTGAACCACCCGCCTGTGGAGAATGCCTGTGTTCTGGAAGTTCCAGAGTATGTGTGTGGGTGGGGGTGGGGGGATGCGGAGGTAACTCAGTATTTAGAGGACTGCGTTCTAAGCAGACTTCCAGTATTTTTAGCCTTGACTTTACCCTCCCCTCACCTCCAGCAGTGTTTGGGGCTCTGAATGCCTGAGGCTTTCTGTAGATTGTGTGATAAACTGCTTTTTGGCTTTCCCTAAGTGGCAGGTAAAGAGTCATCTTTCTCAGGTCTGCTCCTTAGTTACCTCTTGTCCATTTACTTTCTAGCTTCCACATTTTGTTGCTGTTGTTTTCACTCATTCTCTTTGTCCTTGTGAGTTCATGTCTAAAAGAAAAACAAAACGAAACAAAACAAAACCCCTCTTTTTACTGTTATGTTAGTGAGATTTGGGGAGGTAGCTAACCTAAGGTGTGTGTTTGGTATGCCATCTTTATCCTAAAGTTGGAAAGACATTTTAGAAAATTTTCACTGTGGAGAGGTCAAAAAAAGTTTGTGTTGCTGGGGCGCCTGGGTGGTTCAGTGGGTTAAGCCTCTGCTTTCAGCTCAGGTCATGATCTCAGGGTCTTGGGATCGAGCCCCGCATTGGGCTCTCTGCTTGGCATGGAGCCTGTTCCCCCCCGCCCCACCGTCTCTCTGTCTGCTTCTCTGCTTACTTGTGATCTGTCAAAAAAAAAAAAAAAATTGTGTTGCTCTAATGGGAAGATCACAAGTTCTATGAGAAATGGAAGTTTTACTTCTATGTGCTACTCAAAATGTAGTTCTAAGACTAGGACTACCCATCCTACCTGGGTATCACCTGGGCCCCACCCAAACTGATTGAATCAGAATTAGCATTTTATCAAAATCCCTAGGAGCGTCCTAAGCATGCTGAAGACTGAGAAGTGCTAATATGAAGTACTTCACTCAACTCCTACTGTAATTAGGATAAGCTAATTTTAATGCATCTTAATCTGGGACTTAAACATTTTGGTATATTCACTTACTAAATTCTCCAAATTCTAGAGGTTGCTGTGAATAATATAGAGGAGTATGTAAGTTTTCATGAATATGCATCCTCTCTCCCTTTACAAACCATGTCTGTCCATCTGAGTCAACATCAGATGTGAACCCAAAATTCCATGTCATTTGCCATGAGAGATTTCAGATTGGTTCTATTCAGGCTTTTTAAGCTGCCCACAGTTCTTGAGGCTGGTGATAGGTTTTTATAGATTGGGTAGGTTGAGTTTTCAGTCACAGGTCAAGCTGCCAAAGTTAGAGGGTGGCTTCCCCTGAAGGCAAAGGATAGATTAATTAGTTTAAGCCCAGCTTCTGTCCCAGTGACAGGTATATGCTCAGCAAGTGATTGTGGGATGAGGGAACAAAAGATACAATTCCTGTCTTCAAAATGTTCACCAACCAACATAACTTGGATGTCACCATGTAGGGTTGACCAGCTCTAGGGAAGAGTAAGCACAGAGAAGGGGCATCTAATTTAGCATTACTGGCAGAAGGAGCCAAAGGGCTACGTGATTTGGTGAGCCTAGCTTGGTGCGTTTAGAGCAGCGGCTGTCAGTTTAGTGTTTATTAGAATCACTTGGTGGGCTTGTTAAAACAGAGACCCTGTCGCCATCCTGACAATGCTGACTCAGTGCACGTGGGGCGGGCCCAAGAATGTGCATTTCTAACCACATCCTGGGTGATGCTGATGATACTGATTTCACATTTTGAAAACCACTGGTTTTAGAGAATTATAAAGAGTTCTTGTGGCTGGAGTCAGGGGATAGGGAGTGGTGGGTGATACTGAAGGCAGAAGTCTAAGGAGTAGGGATTTCATTAGGGAGCTTGTGGGGGGTCAGGTTTTCCAGAGGAGAGTGGTGGACACCCATGTGCAGTTCGGAAAGATCATTTTGGGTGTGGTGTGGAGGATGGATCAGCAGCAGGGCTAGGTTAGAGGCCAGGAAACTAAGTAAGTGGATGATCAAAGACATCCAGATGAGAAATAATAAAAGCTTGGAGTACAGGTGGGAGGAGGAAAGACCCCTAGAACTTGGTGGCCAGTTGGAAGTGGGAGGGGAAGAGGGGGAGGAGTCACAGTGGACCATCAGCTCCCTGGCTGGCTGGGTGTTGGGATTGTGTCACTCAAAACCAGGAAGAGAGGGGGTCTGAAGCAGGGTCTGGAAAGAAGAGCAAAGGAGGTAAGTCAAGGGCAGGACATGTTGAGTTTGAAATGCCAGCAAGAAATCTGGGTGGACCTCCCAGTGAAGAGTTTTCTTTCTGGGTCTGGAGGCCAGGAGAGGCCTGGTAAGTCATCTAGCCCTGTCCCCGGCCACTTTTATTTGAACTCCTGTGTTGTTTGATTGAATCAGGCATTGCATTTGTGAAGAAACACTACTGGTATAACCTTTCAGGACCTGAAGAATGCAATACTTTTAAAGATCCTTTCTCAAGAAAACAAATATTCTACTCTTTTGACTGGGGGAAAAGAAAGAGTTGGAGTACCAGTCTTCTAACACCAGAAGAGGTTAATACAGCTCCCTTTGGTCTGAGAGACCAGTGGAATTGGGTTTTAGTAAGCTTGAAAGGAGCAAAATCACTTGACTGGTCTTCAGGCCATATGACGAACAGCTGAGACTAATTAGCTGGATTGTGGGTTTTTTACAGAGATGCCTGATTTTGAAAGTTGTTGGAGTGGGCTGCTTTTCAAAAGACTCCTTTGAAAAACTTTTATAAGTAGGCGATTCTGACTTTAACATTTCTTTTTGTATTACATAGACAAAAAGTAACCTTTTTGAAGAGGACATGTGATTGGACGTTGTCTAATTGTTGAAGTGTTGGGAGCAACGTTTCTAAAGTTTTAGAAAAACCACCAACGACTCATACTCCCTCCTTCAAGGTATGGTTTTGTGTTTAAATATGTATATAGGGGTGCCTGGGCGGTTCAGTAGGTTAAAGCCTCTGCCTTCGGCTTTGGTCATGATCTCAGGGTCCTGGGATCGAGCCCCATGTTGGGCTCTCTGCTCAGCAGGGACCCTGCTTCCCTTCCTCTCTCTCTGCCTGCCTCTCTGTCTGCTTGTGATCTGTCAAGTGAATGAATAAAATCTTAAAAAAAAAAAATAGAAAAGAAGTATGTATATATACATGTTTTTTTGTAGAGGTTTCAAATTCTGCCATGCCAGTTTTCATGTAGAGTATGTGCAATTTACCATAAAATACCACTGCCTGTGTTAACTTTGTTTTTCTTTTTAAACCAAAGACTCTAAAACACCTGCTAAATTTCTGGGGGTGTAGTTTGAAAATTTTCAAATACCATCGGGTACATATGAATACTGACTGCATTTTTCCTTTCTTTTCTTAACTGTAATACAGTAACATAGGTTTTTATTCTCAGATAATGTGTTTTCTTAACTGTAATACAGTAACATAGGTTTTTATTCTCAGATAATATGTTTTCTTATTTAAACTCAATTAGCCAGTGTACTGTACATCATTAGTGTCCAGTAATATGTTGAATAAGAGAGCTGATCAAGGAATGAAATTGCTCTGAGTGTCTTTTTCATCCTCTGAGGACTTCACTAAAATTCCAGCTTATTGGGATTTTGTTTTTAATATTGTTAACAGCTTTAATGGAGAAAAGCTTTATCTAAGTATGTGTTTTACCATAAGGTGTATTTCTTCTATGAATTAAATTTGCTCCCAGAGAATTGTTAATATTGATAGGTTTTGGGGTAGTATTGTGGTTATGTAAGGAAAGGTAGGTATATTTTATAGGTGCTTAGTGACAGGACGCAGGAGTGAAGGACCTGGGGTGGGGTCTCATGAGGTCTCATGTTCATGACACAGTTCTCTCTCCTTCCGGGTCTGTGCGGGTTTGCCAGGATTGCCCTGACAAAGCGCTACAAACTGGGCAGAAGGGTGTTGGCAGGGTGGGTTCCTTCTGAGGACGGTGAGGAAGAATCCGTTCCAAGCCCCTCTCCTTGGCTTGCAGATGGCCGAGTCTCCCTGTGTCTCATCTTCTCGTCTTCCCTCTCTGAGTGTCCGTATATGAAGAAGGAGTTTGGATGCAGACACTCAGGTCATACAGCTGATTAGTGTCAGCGTCCAGGCAAGTCCCGACTTCCACTCCGGGGTGCTGACCAGTTCTTGGTTTTATTTTCTTTGCTGCGAGTCCAGGCCTTTCTCCTAGGAGTGAATCCAGAGCCCTGATGATCAGAAGTAACTATGGGAAAAACCTTAATTAAAAGTCGACTTTGTCTGTCTAGATTCTTGGATTATAAATTTAAAAAAAAATTTTTTTTAAAGAAAAAGTGTTGTGGCAAGAGTGTTTATTCATGAGGGCATCGTATCCATACACCGTCCAGGTTGGAGTTCATAAATTCCAAAGGAGTTTATCCTCATCTTGATTGCTTTCTGTGTCTCTTACAACTTTCCCCTTGTCCTTTCCAGACACAGTGTTCAGTGACCCAGCAGCCATTAGAAAACAACAACATGATTTTTTTCTTTTTAGTTGCTGCTGCTGCTGCCCACAAGACAGGAACTGTGGCAGCAAATGCTGATGAAACCTTGTGGCCAGGAGGATGGCACCATAGCAACCGAGACCTGCGCCTTTGAGCGGGTCCCAGAACCCAGGCTTCTCTTGCTGCTGTTCCAGTTTCCGTCCTCTCGAGACCCTCAGCACCTGAGTGCTCAAAAAGGAAATGCCCACCACTTCCCTCTGTTTCTGTTTTCTCCTTTTAGGATTAAAGCTTCCTGAGACCCCTTTTCATCTTTGGCTGTCCTTCCTTTCTTCTGCCCTCTGCGCTTGGTGGATTTGTAGCTAGAGCTCAGGGCAGAGCACAGTCACAGCTGATGAGTCACAAAAAGCCCATTAAAAACAAAGGCTGATTTTTGCAGAAGCCGTAATTCATTTGCGCTGTCTTTGCAAGAGGACTCTTCCTGCTTGCTTCTGTGCTCCTGGGGTTACTGCAGTATGGCTGGGGCCCTGCCCTCTGGCCTGGGTGTGTTCTGTGGGGGCTGGAGGGTAGGGAGGGAGGGAGTGATGAGTGAGATCAGCAGTGCTGCTCAGGAGAGGAGTTTGCATTGCTGATGATTCTCTGGAGGCAGGAGGCACCTTGCTCACACAAAAAATACAGATCATCCTTCCAGGAACCCAGAACATCAGTTTGTTTGTTTGTTTGTTTTCTCCATTTCATACTCCTTTAGGTTTCTCTTCTCCCTGATGTTGTCTGAGCAGGGAACCTTTAGCTATGAATGCTAGATTCGTCACTCTGCAAATATTGAATGGATCCCCTGTTTGCACAAGAAGGAGAAAGTCCAGATGTCTTTAAGCTGCCACCTCTGTGCTTTGGTGACTTTGGACTATTGTTTTAAAAATCTCCTCCTAGTGCCCTTCTTGGGTCTTTCTTCATTCTCATTGGTCCTCTCAGCTCTCCCATGGCCTCAGGAAATCAATTATGTTCATAACTCTAAAATCTATATTCTTAACACTGATTCTTCTTTTGAACCCTAGTTCTGTGTTCCAAATGCGAGTTAAACGCAACTCCCTGGATGGCCAGCATGTCTAAGGGACATTTAATTGATCATGTCTGGTACACTGTAGCATTGTAGTCGTGCGTCTGGATTTGAATGCTGGCTCTACAGTTGACTGGTGATGCGTCCTTGAAGAAGTTATTTAACCTTTCTGTGTATCAGTCTTATTATCTGAAAATTAGAGCCCTTATAGGGGTTTTTATTATGAGGATTAAATAAGTTGGTATTTTATTTATTTCTAAAGATTTATGTATTTGAGAGAAGGAGAGAGAGAGAGAGAGAGCGAGAGCACAAGCAGGAGGGACAGAGTGAGAAAGAATCCCAAGCAGACTCCATGCGGGGTGTGGAGCTTGACTTCCATATCATGACCCTGAGATCATGACCTGAGTTGAAACCAAGAGTCAGATGTTTAACCGACTGTGCCACCTAGGCACCCCTAAAAAAGTTGGCATTTTAAAGGACTTAGAAAAGCACTCAGTAAGTGTCAGTTATAATAATCATAATCTCAAGTCATCTTTTCCTGTCTTCGTTAATAATATTAATTCCGTTAATAAAGCAAAAGTTTTGGTTATCTTTAACTTGTATACCAGTCAGTTAAGAAGTTATACTGATTTTTTCTACCTACTAAAATATGTCTTGAATTATTCCTCTTCTTTCCCACTGTAACCAACCCAAGTCAAATCATCACCTCTCCCATCCCATGCTAACCCTCTGTTGTGTATTCCCAGTCTCCGCGGGCTGCCAGAAAGATCTCTCTAAGGCAGACACCTCGCGTCCCTCTCTTTTATAGAAGTCTGCAGTGGCTTTCCATTGCAGAGGATAACACGGACTTTTTACATTACAGAGGAGTCCTTTCGGGCCTCGGTTGCAGAGTCTCTTCCACCTTTCTAGCCCATCTAGACACATCCTCTCCATGGCCATGCACCTGAGGCCCCCTATGGGCACCCATACCCTTCTCCCACTTACACCTCTGCAAGTGCCAACATCTTCACTCCCACCCTCCCAGGCTGTCACGCAGCACTTGCTCCTCTTTCAAGGCTGGAAGCCTCGTCTGGGTGCTGTACTTCGAATGCCAGACAGCCCTTGCCCAATGCCATCAACAGTTATTTACACCTTTCAGATTAGCAGCAAAGATCATGTTGTTGATAGCTTCTGTTGTCTTTAATGGACAATGCTTATTTGGCATGTGAAGTCCTTTGTCCCCTCGCTTGGTGAGCTGGTGATTTTTGTCCATTCACATGTATCACTTGTCCCTTGGTGTGTGGTTTAGTCCTTGACCCAGATGCTACTCTGTGAAGTTTTCCTGGTTCCCCCTGCCAGGCATATCGCTGTCTCCCCTTCCTTCTAACCCCCTCTGCCCCAGCCCTCCCACCCATCTAGCATTGTGTGCATGTTTGTTACGGTTCTTGTTTCACTGTTCATTCCCACAGAGAGTGCTTCTGTTAGACTGTTGCTCTTCCAGAGCTACGTTCTCATCGTTTCACACAGGGATGAATGCAAGGCATGTTCTCCATCCTGGTTCGTTAAATGCATGATGTTTTAACTCATGTGCTTACGGGCTGGTGCCTGACTTTAATCATCAGAACCAGGCTCTCCTGGAGTGCCTGCATGGCTCAGTCATTAAGTGTCTGCCTTTGGCTCAGGTCATGATCCCAGGGTCCTGGGATGGAGCCCTGCATCAGGCTCCCTGGAGAGCCTGCTTCTCCCTCTGCCACTCCCTCTGCTTGTGCTGTCTTCCTGTCTGTCTCTTAAAAACAAGACAAAGCAAAACAAGAGCAACAACAAAAACAACAACAACAACAAAGAAAAACAGACTCTCTCTCCACAGTTGTGTCTTTTGATCATTGTCCTAGGCCAGTCTACATATCAAACTCGATTTGAGATTATTAACACTTTTTGTGTTGGTGTTTGTATGTCATTTTGCATTGAGGGATATTTGGTGTAGGTTTCTTGAGAAGTACTTCCAAACCTGTCCCAGGCAGTACTACCCTTCCCAACATCCTCCTACGCTGTAGAATTGTTATCATTTTGCATTTGTCAGTCAAGCCAAGTTTATTTTCCTCTAAAAAAATTTAAATATTCTGCTTAGACTAGCTCAAAAATCTATTTTTAAGTCTTTAATAGTTATTAAAAGTGTTTAAGTGATTAAAGGTTTGTGGAAATCAAAAAATGAAAATGTACTTTTTTTTTTTTTTTTTTTTTTTTAAAGCTGCTGTAAAACTTACTGCAGTCAGAGGCTGTAGGTCCTTTGGAGCCGGATATAGACTCCAATGTTATAAACACCTGTGAGGTTTAATTTGTTTTTCTAAGAACTAAAGATTCTAGAGCCTTGTTACAAGAGTTGCTGGCTGATTTCTATTTCTTTTG